TCTGAAGTTTGGATGCAGTGTTGTTTTTATATATAAATGACATTATGACAAATGATGAAGGATTAAATTACACTTCAATCAAATCATGCCAAACCAGTAGGGATTGAGGTCCCAGTGGAAAGTATACATGGAGTTCCTCAGCTTCCTGATTTGAATGACTTTGTTCTTCTTCCAGAGAAAAGGGGAGGGGGGGGACGAAGGAGAAGAGAGGGAAAAGGGAGAGGAAGGGGGGATTTGGCCTAAAATGAAACATTTTCCTTTTAAGTTGAACATTTGAAAATGGCTGGGAGGAAAGAGCTGAAACACTGTAATGGCTGATACTGAAGAACAGCCTGGGACTTTTGCTTTTCGAGAACAGAAGCCAGGGAGAGAGCTGTGGTGTGAAAAAGGCAACGCTGTGTGCCTTGAAGGGGAAGGTGTTTGCAGCAGCCCACCTCCTGCAGACACTGAGAACCCCCTGCAAGGCACTAACCCAATTAGCTTTGCTAGAGCTGTGCCGTGCAAAGGCAAAGGACTGACAGTGGTTTTGGTAAAGGCTAAAGACAGCTTCCCTCTGCCTTGCACTCCATCGGAGGCACTTTATTATCTTTGTGTTGCCACATCTTGCAAAGGTTGGCTCCAGAGCCTCCAGCTCTGCAGCTCTGTCCAGCCAGAACCTCTCTCCTCACTCTCAGCACTGTTGTGAACAAATCATGCAGAAATAGCCACCCCAAGGATGAGTTTGTCTGGAGACAGACAGACAGACATATGGACAGCCAGGCAGATGCTGCGCTCTAGGGTTTGCTCTAAGCATTTTGCCCTGAAAGTTGCAGTCAATACAACCCACCCCGAGCTGATTTCTGGGTGCAAATTCACAGAATTCACACAAATCTTGGGTGTTGTGTCCAACAGAGCCCATCAGTGGTCAGGCATTGGGATGAGCTGCCCAGGGAATTTGTGGAGTCACCATGGAAGTGCTCAAAAGGCATCTGGATGCACTTGGGGTTATGGCTGAGGTGCTGGGTGATGGCAGGACTGGATGATCCTGAAGGTCTCTTCCCACCATGATGATTCTGTGATCAGTGGAATCCCAAATAAGTGAAGCAGAAGACACCAGAGCCCCTCAGTCCCCACTGAGGAACAACGGGGTTGATTCAGGTGTGACACAGCCCAGGCTGGCATCAGTCTGGTGAGCTCAGGGCAGCTCAAATCCTCCCCAGCAGATGGGAACAACATTTCTGTGAGTTCTGAGAGCTGTGCCTCTGTGTCTGTGTGTGAACCACAGAGCCAGACAGGGTACAAGACCTTTTCCCACCTCCCCATTGGATTATTTCTGTCCTCAAGCAACACACACGACCTCCATGTGGTATCTGTGATGGACAAACTCCCCTCTGCTCACATTATCACATTATTGTAATTATCTAATCTGGCCAAAATTAAAGGCAAAGAGAGCACTCCAGCAGGTCTAAAAGACTACTCTGAAGGCAGGGCAAGGCCAATTCCACTGAGAAAAGAGCAGAGCCCACAAAAGCACACATGTGCAGACATCTCCAAGTATGCTCAGGCACACACTCCTGAACAGGATAAAATCAGATCATCCCTTTCCCAAAGTCCTTTTGCTACGAGTTTTCTCCTCATAGTAAAAGGCTTTGCAAAGTATGTTAAAGAACAATTCAGCAATAATTCCCAGGGAACAATTTGTTACCTGTGGTTAACGTCCGATCTGCTCACATGGCAGCTCAACTTTCTGACACAGAAATCCAGGAGAACACTTGGAGAAATCAAGACCCAAATTGGTTCAGCCTCTGAGGATAATAACGACTTAGAAATATGTATAAATTTAAGTGGTTTTGAATAAGGACAGCGTTTCAAAAAGCACTCGAATTGTTACTTTGAAATAAGCCATTATTTTCTGCTTTTTTAAATTCCAGTCTTTAATAGGGGATGAGACCCAGTCTGCCAAGAACCAAGAAGAGTTTTTGATGCAAATGAAAAGCGGCATTTAAGAAGTGCAATAATAGAGCCCACACCACGTTGCCAGCTCCCAGGCCCTGGAGCATCCAGGGATCCATCCAGCCTGGGACACCAGAGCAGCGGGGTTAGAGACCCCCTGACCTCATGGCTGACCTGGTTCGTGCTGGTGAGGCCTCAGGGCTAACACCACAGCCCCGCATTCAAATGTTTCCAGTTAAAAACCACAAAAATTCCAACCTGGACTCATATCCAGACACTCACGGGCAGATGTGGCCATGCAGGGAAGGGATGGATGACAGGAGAGATCCTGAAGGCTCCTTGGACTGGATTTAGTGAGCACTTCCAGGGGTGGTGACTCTGTGGTGACTCTGTGGTGACTCTGCCTCCAGGGCTGGCCACTGTCTACCTTGGGTTCCGTGCTTTACTACCCTTCCCATGAAAAATGTTTGGTATTATCCAACCTAATCCCACCCTGGTGCATCCCCAAAGGATAAGGCTGCCCCTCATGCCAGGGGCAAGTGGGAGGGGGAAAGTGGGAGCAGGAGGGGCCTGGCACAACAGGGCAGTGACAGAGCAGGAGCTGGCCCTGGACAAAAGGCCCAATTAAAGTGTCCTCCTGCAAACAAACATCCCCACAGCCCAACTTTTTCAAAGATGGCTCAGGAAAGAAAAGGGCCACGGGATCGGCAGGATCAGCCTAAGTCATGTACATCTATTTAACAAGAAAACTCATTGATAAGCAAACCACCTGATGCTTGCACAGCAGAAAAGAAAACACCTGGTTCTGCCTGTGGGTTGATAAGCCAATATCTTTAATCTTTTTTTTTTTTCTCTTGATGACTGAAGTACACACTCTGTGCGGCCCTATGCTCCAGCCACATTGGTAATAGTAACAAAGCTTTGATGTCCCCCTCATTCAACAGAATGTTGTTTAGTTCAAAGCGAAGAACAGAGGCAATTCTTTGCTTTTAAATTATTAGCTCCCTAAGTCTTCTGTAATGATATAGTTTGACTGAAGTGTGCAGTTTATTAACTACATAAAGACGATATTATTAGAGCGGAGAAAGGCAGCCGAAAGTTTTGCCTTTCAGCTCAGCAGCAGGGGTTTTTGATACTTTGATCTCAATCAATGCTAAATGTCTTTGTGAGATAGAGGGAGCAGCAGAAATTACCTTTGGCACCATGACTACATCAATTATTTAGTTCTTTTTCTTATAAATTAAAGTGTTCTTCAACTTTTACCCCAATTTTTTCTTCCTCTTCCTCCTCTTCTTTTTTTTTTTTTCTTTTCCCTTCAGTTATTGGTGGGGGGGGAAAAGCTGACTGGGAGAAGTCTGGCTGTGAGTATTAATAAAAATTCCACTGACCTTTCCCAGCCCTGGTCTGGGAGGGTCTTCTCAGTGTGAGGAGGTGGACTAATGGGAACAACAACAGCAGAAGGGGGGCTCAGGGTGATGTGCTGTTTAATCAAATTACTGTGTAGGCACTTATTCAAAATTTGCCTACATTTTTTTTTTTCCCCCTTGGTCTTTTCCAGTATTGCTATGGAAAAATGGGACACCTGACAAGAAAGGTGGAGGGAGACTATTTACAGGAGCAAGTGGTAACAGGACAAAGGGGAATGGCTTCCCACTGCCAGAGGGCAGGCTTAGACGGGATATTGGGAAAATGTCCTTCCCTGTGAGGGTGGGGAGGCCCTGGCACAGGTTTTCCAGAGAAGCTGTGGCTGCTCCATCACTGGAAGTGCCCAAGGCCAGGGTGGAGCACCCTGGCATAGTGGAAGGTGTCCCTGTGGGACAGGATGGGCTTTAAAGTCCCTTCCAACCCAAAGCATTCCATGATTCCAGGACTCCTGAGGCTGAAAGCAGAGCTTGCAGGGAGCCAGACCGCAGCCCCTGGGGCTGCAGCAGCTGCCTGCTCACTGATGCTGGACACAGGAACTCTCATTAAAGCCACTGCTGTCAGCTGATCCCACCCAGAGCTGTCACCAAACCCCACCCATACAGAACTCCTGTCCAGCCTGGAGCCCATCCCCTACAGCCAAAAATAAACCATTCCCACAGCTGATTCATCCCATCCCAAGAGGGGTGACAGACTCTGTCCCTGGGACAGAAGGAATCCAGCATGATGGGACTAGAGGCGAGCAAGGATAACGTAGCGCAGTGCTTCCCTTGGATAAGAAATGAGTGGAAGTTTCAGTGGGATTTGTGTTCTCTGGTACTTCAGGGCAGAGGCTGGAGCAGAGCCAAGGGAGGAGGGTGTCCCTGCAATCTTGGGGACAGCAGCGGGTGGCTGGGCTCAGTGCTGTGGCGCACCAGAGTGTGCTGGAAACCACTGGAACCAGAACCTTGGCTGGGAACACGAGCAGCAGGACCACAGAGGTGCTGAGGAGATGCCTTTAAACCAAGATTTAAAACACTGACCTCTGGCCAGAAAAATTCTTTGTGAGCAAGAAATAAAAGAGGTTTTTGCAGAGGTGTTGAGGCATGAACTATGGGAACTTCAACATATTTATGTGTAGAATGTGTTGGAGAACAACATAATTCTGTTTTCATGGTGATCAAAGTTCTGCAAGAAGGAGGACTTGAGACAGTGTGCTGAGCTGCTATGGCAACATGAATTTTAAAAAATAAACTGACTTGCAAGAGCTTATCTTTTCCTCTTTAGTGTGGTGCAGAACAGATCTGGGAACCTGTGCCTGAAAGAGATCCTGTGAAGAGCTCACCTCTGCCTCTGGGCCAGGTGTATTGCAAAATGCATAAAACATATCCCTCGTGGCAAGGGGAAAATCATTCCGTGACTGGCTTTGCACCCCAAAGAGCCAAGTCATGGTGATCCAGTCACTGTGTGTTTATCACAGCTCAGATATTCAGATGCTGGGGTGGATGCAGCACGAAGCACTTGGGCTGTGCTGCCATCCTATTCTGGGAGCGGGGTGGGCTGCCAGGCGCTGCTCGGGGTGAATTCCACCCACACAGGCGTTTCCAAGAGCACCATGACGTGGGCTCGGCTTACAGCTCGGCTTTCAAGCCACCCGCACAAAATGTAGAGGCAGCAGTGTCAGGAGCCCTCCCTGACAGCTCCTTTCAGGAGGGGATGCTGTGAGGAGCTGTCAGGCTCTGAGTCAGCTGTTCTTCCAGGGCTGGCATTCCAGGCAGGAAGAGCCTGCTGGAAGAACCATCCCAACCACGAAGAACCATCCCAACCACGCCGCCTGCCAAAACCACACTGGGAATCCCATGGGAACCAGCCGCCTCCCGAGCCAGCTGGTACTTCCTGCTCCCGAGGCCTGATCCTGCTCTGGATGCTGAGCATTCTTCGTTCCATTTTTAAATTAATGAGGCTTGAGCAATGCATGGTCCCAGACCCCGGGGGAAGAAACAGCCCCTCGGTGTTTTCAGCACTTTGGCCGTGTGGCCCAGCTGGAGAGGAGAGGGAAATGTCAGGTTTGAAGGGAGATCCGAGAGATGCCTGAAAACAGATCCGTAACCTGGAGATTTTAGCCAGGTTCTCCGAGCTGGCCATGCTCCCACACACAGCTCTCCTCCCCAGCACGGGCTGTGACTCCCAAAACTGGCAGCCCCATCTCTGCAGAGAAGGATGAGGATCACCAGCGTGGGACTGGCTCCCATCCTATCCCAACAGTGTCCCCTTGAGGTTGGTGGCTGAGGCAGCCTGGGAAGAGCTCTCACGGAGGTGCAGGGGAACCCCAGAAGCTGCTCTTGTTTTCCAACCAACAAATCCCAGCAGCTGCGGATCAGCCTGAGTGAAGGATGCTGGAGGAGCCCACCCCACAGGGGGTGTGGGACCTCCACACCTGGGAGTGGAGCACTTGGAGACCACTCAGGTAAGAATCTCCTTCCAGCTTCATCTGTGCATGTCTAGAGCTGGACCACTGCAGCTGATCCAGCAGCACTGGGGCGTGGGAGCTGCTCCAGCACCCCAGGAGGAGACAGTGTGGGAGGGTCTGTGCAGCCATGGGAGGCTGGAGAGAGGAGCCTCTGCAGAGGACACGGGGCTCCCTCACTGCTGCTGGAATCTCCTTTCTTCTGGCAGCCAAGCAGCAGGGAGTTTTCTGAGAAACTGCCCACAGGGAGCGATCACTTTTTCCAGTCATTAACCTTCCACATCCCTCACATTACAGGAATACCTTGGATGTCTAAGCTGCTGCAGCGAGCTAATTCCTCCAGGTGACTCCAGGCAGCGATCAGTGGGCTCCTGCACAGCGAGGGGGTTTGAAGTGCCAGAGCTGAAAGCGCTCCCAACTCCGGCACGCCAGGCCTCCAGCAGGGGACACAGCCTCAGATGTCACAGCACGGTGGCAGGAGGGGCTGGGGCCTCTGGAGCTGTCATTTCCAACCTGCATTTCCAACTGGGGGAGCCAAGGCAAAGGGAGGGGGACCAGGCACGGGCCTGAGATGCCCTGTGCCCCCAGGGAAGTGGGCTCTGGTTGAAGGATATTGGGGGAAAAGATATTTGGGAGGCATTGGGGAATAAAAATCAGCGCCCTGAAGGGATAAATGTTGAGAATTGTCAGTGCTGGCCTCTGGGATAGGTGTGTACCTGGCTGCACTGCGTGTCCCAGCCCTGGCAGAGCAGCAGATTTGCATCTGAACTCCTTCCTCTGGTGTGGAAGATGAACACGAGGCGTATTCAAAGGCAAGGAGGTGCCCAAGAGAAGCCCAAAACCAATGAGAGAAGGATTTACAGTAGGATGGCTCTTATCATATGTACACAATATTAAATATAGCATTCTTTCCTCTGACAAATCACAATGTCTTCATCTTGTATTTCCTGGATTATACATCACCAGCATCCTGCCAGGACTAGCTGAGTAACAATACTCACACAAAAATTGCAGAAGACACCAGATTTGTCTCTCATCAATAATAGATGTCCCTGTCAGTGGCAGCAGAGCAGGACCAGGTCCCTCTGAAAGAGCAAGCCATTGAGAGCCAATGTGTGTTTGTACAAGAGGAGCACCACAGGCAGTGAGGGCCAGCAGCCTGCGAAAGACTCTTTGGAGACAGAAGCAGCCTTCTGATTTTCCCAAATTACCCAGTGATGGGAAGTGTCAGCCCAGACCTGGGGAAAACAGGGAGCACTGAGTGTGTGTGAGGACAGATTTAAATCCCACAGCAGGACTGAGCATGTGGAACCACATCAGCCACACAGGAAAAACTCCATTTATAATCAGAAAGTACAAAACAGCAACATCAGAAGTCACAGGTCGTGGCCAAGGTACAGAACAGGGACCCACAGCACACACACACACACACACACACACACCGAGTAAACTTGTCCAGGGAATAAAACAACCACCTTCAAACACTGACACAAGGAGGGCAACAGTCCAAGTCAATATCAGCACAGCCTGTGGCAACACATCAATCCCAGCTTGGAGGGGCCCAAAACACCAGCAGGGACTTGGCTGGGATCTCCCAGGTGCTCCCAGGTCGGGCCATGGTTTCAAACCCATTCACACTGGAAAGCTGGAGCTACTGCAGGAGGGCTCTGCACTCCATGCTCCCTCTGGGATCATGTTTGGTTTGGATGAAGGAACGATGCTTTGCCACCCAGCACACAGCATCTCATGAGGGGCACTCCATTTTCCCCAGTCTCCTAATCAGCATGCTTTCAAGTTAAAAAATTGTAATTATTAGGAGGTGGGCCTGGGCTGGGGACACAAACACGCCCCAGTTTTGGCACTGAAGCCTGAGTCCTGCTCTGCCAGCCCAGCTCCAGCTGGGCTGTGTTCAGTGTGCTGACACCTCATGGCCAAGCCAGAAACTCCGATAAGACACCGTTTCCCAGGACATCACCCACACGTCCTCCATCTGCTCCAAGGCATGAAACCAGGCTGGTTTATCGACAAGTCTGTCACAAGCAGGACTGAACACACCAAAGACAGGAAAGAAAACCAGTCCAGAAAGGCTTGGAGCTCTTGGATGACAAACAGCTGGGCGCACCAGGGGCTGGTTTTCGGAGCCGTGGTGGTCTGGGTGTCCCTGGTGCTGGAGGATGGCTCTAACACAATTTTCCAACATGTGCTGAGCCATGCATGGCAAACACTGCAGTCTCGGGCCTGGCAGGAGTGTGTGTGCCGGGGTGGGTCTCCCAGGGGCAGATCAGCTCCTTTGCAGAGTCCTTCCGAGCCCGGCGCTGCCTGTCCTGTCCTCGCCCGGCTCGGAGCGCCCACGGCAGGCTGGGCCCTCCGAAGGCACTTGGAAGAAGCTGCGTTGGGAAACAGAAACTCATCACACACACACACACACACACACACACACAGAGCGCTTTTTGATGTGCTCCAAGGTGGCCAGCAAGCTTGTTCCAGCCCCAAATCCCAAAGCAAAACTCCCGGGCACGAGCCCACGGAGAGGGAGGACGAAGGAAATGTGCGCTGCCGCTCCTTTGAAGCTGCAGCGCCGTGTGACAGCTCCCGAGCGCGGAGCCAGGTAGAGCAGGAGCCCTCAGGTTTGAGCTTTGGAATTTATAATGTGGACTCATCCACAAGGCCAGCAGCAGAGGTGGGTTAAATGAGATCAGGAACATGTTGTTCCTGGTGAGGGACATGGCCAGGGTTTGGTTCCTGCAGGGGAAGCCTTTCCAGGCAAAAATTCCCCATCTCTGCCCTGGAACAACAAACACTTAGCGACTCTCGCTCAAGATTTCCCCTCCCTTGTCACTTCTGGTTCTCCTCTGACTTGAAATCACTAAAGCAAACCTGAGTCAGTGCTCAAGAGCACTGAGGTTTTCCAAATTCGGGGATGAAAAGTAAAACCTGGGGTTTTGCCCCGTGAACAGGAGGTGTGAAAGTAGCAGAGGCCAGCATGGGTTCCTGGCCTGTTCCCGTCAGAAAAGCGCAGGAATGGAGACAGGGAAGAGCGCGGGTTTTGGGGCAAGTGTGGCAAATGCAACTGCCAGACAGGGAAGGAGCTCTCCCTGTGGGTGACCCCAAAGCGAACGGGCCCAGCGCTGAGCTCTGTCCAGGGCAGTGTCCGTGTGTCCGTGTGTCCGTGCGGTGCTCACCTGCTGACCGTCCGGCTGTCCGGCCGCAGCCGCCGCTCCCGCCCGCCCAGCGGCTGCACCTTGCCGTGGGGCAGGGCCGGGCTCCCGCAGCCCCTCCGCAGGACGCGGGCCCAGGCCCGGACACGGCGGGTCACCCGTGGGTCCGGCTGGGTGCCCGTGGCGCTGCCCGGGGCACGGCCGAGGGGCGAGGGGCACACGGCGGGTGGCAGGGCCGGGGCGCTGGGGCCAGCGTGGGCAGCCCGGCCAGCGGAGCAGGAGGCCAGGTGGCCCGGCTGTGGGGAGGAAAAGGAGAGAGGCTCGGTCAGTGCTGGGTGACACCCAGGGCTCCCCAGGTGTCCCTCCCCTCCTTTGGTGCTGCCAGGAGAGAAGGGCTCAGCTGGGAGGCAGCTCCAGCCACCCCAGCCAAGCCTGGTGTCCCCCTCTCCTGCAGCTCTGTCCCCTTCCCTGCCCTCCCACTGCCAGGGCACCGAGGTGTCACAGCTTGCTGCGGGGTCACTGCTGCCACAACCCAGATCCAGCCCCACACCCGCCGGGATGCTGGAGGAGACACCAGCTTGTCTCACTCCTCACAACGATGAGCTGCAGGCACGGAGGAGGCTGTCATCCCGGGAATGTGACCTTGGTTATGAACAGCACAGCCATGTCACACCCTCGGCACCAGCCGGGGCCGGGAGCAGACCCCGAGCCCCAGCCCCGTGGCTGGCAGTACCAGTCACATCCCATGCTGGAAGCCCAGAGTCCCTGGCTGTGGCTGGGGAGGCTCCAGCACAGCTCAGCCAGCCCTCAGGACAAGCCCAAGCACAGAGCAGACAGGACAGGGACAGCACATGCTGCATGCCAGGTCCCCTCCCACTCCTCAAGGACTTAGTCCCAGCAAAATGAAATGCAGCTCAAGTGTCCGAGGAGAGGAGCTGAGAGCAGAGGCACGCACAGGACATGTACACACACATGCAGAGATGGCACAGAGAAGGATGAACACACTGAGACACGACAGAGACGGTTCTTTTTCGTTTTCTACATTTATTTTTATTAGACAGATGAATGCATGGAAGCCATGGCCAAAAAAAAAAATTAAACAACACATGGAAACAAACAACTTCTTGGCTGGCACAAAGCGAAGTTCATCTTGTACCGGGCAACTTTCCTCTTTGGGGACTGAGCAGCAGAGGATGAGGAGCAGAAGGCCGGGCTGTGACAGCTCCATCAGCCTGTGGCAGGGCAAAGACAGCTCCCGCCTGGATGTGAAGGATGGCTGCTTGTTCCACAAACAAAAACTGGTGTTCCACATGCAGTAACTTGTGGTCCACACAGTAACTGTGTTCCACAAGCAAAACCTGGTGTTACACACACAGTGACTGGTGTTCCACACACAGTGACTGGTGTTCCACAAGCACTGACTGGTGTTCCACACACAACAGCTGGTGTTCCACAAGCACAGTGACTCCCAAGCACGCAGCACAAACCATGGCAGGGGAGCAGCAATGCCAAGCAGAGATGATAAAAAAATCAGAGAAAGGAATGGATGCAGAGAACATAACAAGCAAAGCAGCAGACAAAATAGAAGTAGAATCAGAGGGACTGACGGGAACACACAGATTTGTTATTTATTATTTATACCCTGACTTGATCTTCCACATGTTACTACATACTGGCAATCCCAACATGCTCAGTGCTCCATGTTACACGAACTCTGCAGAGACTGTAGAGTTCATCACAGCCAAGTGGCTTTGGGCCAACCCTGCCAGCTCTTGGAGAGTCTTCCAGTGCTCTGATGCCCAAGCAGGCTGAGGGTGCTCAGCACCTGATGTAACAAAGCCTTGGGGTTTACATTTTTAAAAAGGCAGCCTGAGCCTGCTCCCCTGTCCAGCAGTGCAGAATGTGCCTGTGCTTCCAGCAGGAGAGCAGAGCCTCAGCACAGACATCAGAGGGAAGGTCTGGGGTGACTCAGCTGGAATTCCTCTGAGGTTTATCACTGATGGGGTAAGGAAGGGCAGGACAATCTCCCTGGCTCAGCCACAAGTAGAGGAGAGGAATGACACCACATCAGTGTCCAGCCCTGGACTCTGGGGAAGGCCAGAGTCACTGTTGGAGCTGTTGGGGACACAGTGACATGATGACTGTCCCCTGTTCACAGGGTGTTGCCCTGCAAGGACCCCAGGGCTCCAGGGGCCTGCATGCACCCCTCTGTCCGAGGGCTCCCACTCCCTGCCAGCTCTCTCCAGAAGCTGCCCCGTCCCTGGGAGTGTCCAAGGCCAGGCTGGATGTGAGCCCTGGGATAGTGGAAGGTGTCCCTGCCCATGGCAGGGGGTGGAATGAGAGGAGGTTTAGGATCCCTTCCAATCCAAACCATTCTGGGATTCTGTAATTTCCCATTTTCTGTAAAATTCTACCACTATTAAAAAGGGATGAACAATGTAAACTGGAGAGAGGCAGCTTCCCAGACCTCAGTGCTTCCACCCAGTTCCTTTGCTTCCCCAAATTTTTAACAACCAAGGAAGCTTTTCTGCCCCTTCAATTCCCTTTACTGGCCTCTGCAGGAATCTTCACACTTCTGGTAACCATTGGCCTGGTCCAGACATGCTGGGCTTTTCCAGCAAGGCCCAGAATCTCCCTGAGCTCTTTAGCACTAATGTGGCATTTTAGCTTGCCTTATTCTACAGAGCAAAAGAGACAGAGCAAATGAAAAAGAAAATACTACTTAAAGTTGAAATCTGCTCTTAACACCTCTACCCTGTTCTCC